TTAATCTTAATTTGGATCTCTGCCTATCCGCTTTGATGTGTCTAGTTAATTTTATGCAGTGTTTTGGTATAATGTTGCTGGAGAAACCATAATTGCAATTGGATTTTATGGGTGTAGAATCCAAGCCTGTCCGTGGATTTTAATGCTGTTGTAATCCGTACATTTCGCTGATGCGCTTGCACCAGAAACAGTGTGGCTTTGCCTCCTTGCTGCCATCAGCAGCGGATAGCAGGTTAGATCTGATGATTCCCTTCTGCTGAATGAGGAAAGTTCCATTGAAGGCAGTTCTCCCTCCAACTGAAAGTGTGTTTCTTCAACACAGTATTCGTTACTTGGCTGAAGGAAAAGTTGAATGCTGTCAAGTGCAAGCAGTCACACTTTTGTATCTGAGTGCTCTGCAGAGGATGCAACTAGCCAGTCATGCGTAGTGCCTGACCTAGTTTGGCAGTGTGGTAGAAGAATGTAGAATCTCTGTGTCCTAAAACCGGGAGCGGCTCTTCTCTACTTGACGACTTGTGACCAGTGTTCCCTCCAAGCTGAGTTAGTGTGAGCTAGCTCACTGTTTTTTAGCCTCCAGCTCACACATTTTTGTCTTCGCTCAGGAAGGATGGCTCCGGAGCAAACTAATTTAGGCAACAGCCAAATCGCTCGCTCACAACTTTAATGCCAGTAGCTCACAAAGTAGAATTTTTGCTCACAAGACTCCACAGCTTACAGGGAGCATTGCTTGCGACTTTCGTGACAATCATGCTTGCTTGCGTATACAGCAGAGTTTAAGGCACTCAACTGGCCCCCTTCCTGTCTCCCTCCGACCTTGCCACAGTAATCCATGCAACAGTCACCTCCAGGTTGGATTACTGTAATGCCCGTGAGACTGGATCCGGAAGTTGCAACTGATCCAAAACGCAGCAGCCCGGGTCCTTACAGGACCCCTTTGAGAACACACATTCAACCAGTGCTTTGACAGCCACACTGGCTCCTGGTTGAATACCAGGTCACATTCAAGGTTTTGGTATTAACCTTCAAGGCCTTGAACGGTCAGGGGCCAGCAAACCTTCGGGACAGCCTCTCCCGATATACCCCCCAAAGAGCACTACACTCTGGGGAGCAAAATTCCCTGGTGATCCCAGGCCCGAAAGATATCCAGTCATCCTTGACAAGGGCCAGAGCCTTTTCAGCCCCAGCCTGGTGGAACTCTCTACCTAGGGACATCTGTTCCCTGCAGGACCTGGGACAGTTCCGCAGGGCCTGCAAGACAGAGATGTTCCACCAGGGCTATGGTTGAAGACAGCAAGGGTCTACCTTCAAGCCTGGCCTCCACCTCTCACCCTTCCCACCCTCTATGGGGAGGGCATAAATTGACATCAGACGACATCAGAGGATTACATTGTAGTACTCTAATGTTTGAATTGTTTTACTGAACTTGTTCACGATTTTATTACCGATACGTTGGTACGTGTTGTACACTGCCTTGACCCCTTCCTTATAAATTGAATCAATGTATCAGTTGTAAGTGTGCAGTTGACCTATGCCATACGTGCATTTGTGCAGTTGCCTGTGAAAACAGGCCTGGGGGAAAATGCCTTGTCTAAGAAACTTAATATGTGGAAATGGGCAGCTAGCACATCATCTGGGAAATAATTTTTCATTAAGCCTCTGTTAAAGGGAGAGAGATGGCATTTTTCTCCAGGCCTTTGTGAAGGGACACATTTTTGAAAGGGACACATAAGTGTGGCACATAATTAAAAAAAAACTTGAAAAAAATCTCTGTCCTTGCACTGATGAATGGCTGCTCCGTGTAGGTCACTGCATGTTACAGCCTGAGCTGTCATCTGCTTATTAGCAAGGGCACGGCAACTTGGCATTTCAAACCGCAACAATCTCCGAGTGAGTTATGACAACATCATAAAATGGCAGAATCAATAGTGCTGCTTAAATGGGAGATCAAACAAATCTGTAGTTAGCAAATCATAGCCATCCACCGGTATGTCTTCAACATCAAAAACCTTGGTAAACAAACAGTTCTTCGAGGCCCTCTGAAGAATGGTAAGCTCTTGAACCCCACAAAATCCCAGGAGGAGCGTTGACCCAAGAATCTCAGCCATGTCTGGAATATCTGCCTCCGGATAAGTCCATACTTGTTCATCCTTGTGTGTGCACCCGTAGGTTTATTGACGTGCACAATGTGGTTTAATTGGTAAGGTGCAATCCAGGAAAACAGTTTTTAATGGCAACGCTGAGCCTTAGAAGGCGCAAATAAGTAAGAGGAGGCCTCTGACCGGGCACAGAGTGTCTTTTGCTGATCAGGGAATCCCCACCATTCCCTCTCTTGCAAATGGAATCAGGGGCAGGCTTCCAAGGGCGTGGGTGCTTGGGAAATAGGTAGCCTTAAGCCTCTGCATGTACACTCTTCCTGGAAAGGAACCTTTAGACAGGTGCACGCACAGCGCATGTTTGTTTCTGCCCGGATACATTTGCATAAATGTGAATAAGCGCTGCAGACCAACGTACCTTTGTATGTGTTCACATCTGGCTGATTGCCGTTTTTCTGTCTTGCATGCATTCCCTAGGCCCATGTCAGTTTGGCATTGTGAGGCCCGAATTTATGGGCTTCAGTTTATCTGCCTGTGTTTGGGTGAGCTTTGAGTCCAAGAGCACCTTAAAGACCAACAAGATTTTGGGGCTATAAGTTTCAAGAGTCAAAGTTTCCTTGGTCACATACCTTCTGTGACGGAGGGAGTGCTGACTCTTAGAAGCTTATCCCTTGACATTCTTGTGGGTCTCGAAAGTGCTCCAATCTAGCTTTTCTACTGCCCTCTGAAATTGCCTGTGTTCACGGTTTTTCATCCATGCACCTGCTGCATGCGTTACTGTTTACACATGTGTACACAAGCATACCCTTGTGCGTAGGACACCCAGTCTTTTCATTGTCCCTGACTCCTGATCGGTGGCATCTCTGCGCCTCTGGTTCCCTTCCAGGAGCCAACCTGATCCAAAAGTGGAGAAGAGAAAAAAAGTTCACACACACGTGTGTGTGAGTATGTTTGTGTGGTGTTAAGTACACATTCTAATCCACAGCAGCCTTCCCACGGCAACAGCGTCCAAGTAGCACGACCCACCCATAGCAACCGTCACCAGGCAACACAAACTGTGGCCGCCCCAACAGCCAAGCCCACAAGTCTGTTTATGTTTGAATGTCAGGCTGTAACTAAGGTCCGGGGCCTGGCAAACCCCCAGCTTGGCTGGTGCCCTAACAGTCGGCCCTGGGCATGGGTGGATCCTGGCAGAGGCCCAGAGCGAGGGGCAGCTAAGGGCATCTGTGCATGAGAAATGGACAGAAGTTTCCCATTGGGCCGACCATGTGGGGGAATCGACGCCTCGGAGAGGAGCGCTCCGGCTGGTGGCGTCATAAATATCTCGGGGGTCTGTGAGAATGTCTGTCCTTTGCCTAGCTTGGTCCTGATACAATGCCTGAGGAGATTTGGGGAGCCCCGGGAGAATGCAAGAGATGCGCACCTCATAGGATTTTCTTTCTAGAACCTTCTCTGAAAGTTACAGGCCCTTAATGTCTTCTTTGCCACTCCCCGAGAGGCATGACAGCTACAACCTTGTTTGTTTAAAGCTGGATTCATGTATGAAGTGGAGTGTAGGAGGTCTAATTTTTTTGGGCCAAAAGGGACACGTGGGTGAGAGGAAGTGAACCCTCCCCATGTCTAACAACTTCACACAGGTTCTTCCCTCTCCTCCCCCGGCCCATCTCTGCATTGTTCTCTCAGTCTGCTTAGCTAAGCTCATTTCCAGGATCAGAGTCAATGAGGAGAACAGTGCTTGCGTGGGAACAGACTGCAGGGAGATCAGAGGCGTTTAAAGCCCCATCCTTGGCCCCAGTCCCCCACCCTTGAAAAACTGAGGACTCCATCCATCCTGCCTCTTGGTGGAACCCATCCCTTGCCAGATCTGTGCCTTTGGAGAGTTGGCAGCTCTTCTCTGGGCACAGTAGCGCATTTGGAGTGCATGGTGTGTAGCTGGTCTTTGGAGAAGCTACTGGTTAGACTGGCCCTCTTTAAAGACGAGCTTTGGTGCTTCCTCATTCTGGCCAGTTCTGTGGCAGCTTTCAGGGCTGATCAGGATCTGTCGCACGCAGCCCCCAGCGGAGATAGCTGCAAGTGGTATTCCCGCAGCAGAATCATACCGTGGCCATAACGCATAGCACCACTCACCACACAAACCTTCTGCATCACATGGGAAGCCTCTACACCTCTGCCACACACACTCCTGGCAGCAGTTAATGGGAAATGTCTCCCTCCTATGCTAGGCAGGCAACATGGGAAGTAGCCAATGTTCCCTCTAAGCTGAGTTAGTGTGAGCTAGCTCACATTTTTTTAGCCTCTGGCTCACAGATTTTGGTCTTAGCTCAGGAAGGATGGTTCCAAAGCAAACTGATTTATGCAGCAGCCAAATCACCTGCTCACAACTTTAATGCTGGTAGCTCACAAAGCAGAATTTTTGCTCACAAGACTCCACAGCTTAGAGGAACATTGGAAGTAGCACTGTGGCTACTGTGGACCATAACCACTGTGTAGTAGACCTTGTTTGTGGCCTGTGGCCTGTGATGGGTGGTACAGGTGTAATGCGTTGGTGGGCCTTCCAATGTATTGTGCATGCTGGAACTGGTGATATTCAAGATGGCCACTGAACAGCTGCCCATAACACTTCTGAACCCCTCCTCAGGTCAACATGGCTGAGAGCACAGAGATGGCGGTGCTGGAGGAGAGCTTCCGTAAGTTTGCGGTCTATGGCGATACCAAAGCGACGGGGCAAGAGATGAATGGGAAGAACTGGGCCAAGCTGTGCAAGGACTGCAAAGTGATTTGGGGCTGTGGCTCAGGGTCAGGACATCCAATTGGAATGTAGACGGTCCCAGGTTCACTCCCCAGTATCTCCAGCTGACAGGATCAGGCGATGAGACCCTGGAGATCCACTACCCATTGGAATAGACAATGCTCACCTTGATAGACCAACGTATAAGGCAGTTTCACATGTTCCTCCTGGCATGATTGCTCATCCTTTCCTCTGCAGTCTTGCTTACCTTACCCTTTCCTGTGTACTCTTGTTGACCATTGTTGTATTCTTTTTCACTCAGAAGCTGGTCTACAGTCAAACCTGCAACCATTCTCTCCTCCCCCAAAGTCCACACAGGTTGCAAATGGAGTCCCCCCCCACCTTCAAAAGTTTGCGTCTGTCAAATGAGCTGTCCCTTTTTCAGCATTGTAGTCCCTGGCATCTCCAGTGTTGAGGAGCTGCGGTGGCTCAAGTGGTTAAGACGCTGAACTGCAGGCTGTGGAAGGTCGGTAGTTCAGCAGTTCGAGACCCGAGTGTGCCGCATGACGGAGTGAGCTCCCGTCTCTAGTTCCAGCTCCTGCCAACCTAGCAGTTCGAAAGCAAGAAATTGCAAGTAGATAAATAGGTACCACTTAGGTGGGAAGGTAACAGCGTTCCGTGCGCCTCGGTGTTTAGTCATGCTGGCCACATGACCACGGAAACGTCTTCGGACAGCGCTGGCTCTTCGGCTTTGAAACAGAGATGAGCACTGCAACCCTAGAGTCGGGCTCGACTGGCTTTCGAGCAAGGGAACCTTTACCTTTACCTTAGTCTCTGGCCAAATTGCCTGCAATCAGATCTCCCCCCCTCACTTTCCTTTGCAGTTCAGCTCTCTCTCTGCAATGTTCAGAAACAGACATGTGCTCTCCTTATCTTCTGACATGGTCTCTGTTTCCCCTTTGTCTGTTAAATCTTTAGGTGATGTTATCAGACAACAGCCTGACTTGCAAGGACTCCAGTTCCTCGGTTGGCTGAATGTTATGCTGGCTTTGTTCATTGGGAAGGCATTTATAGGGGAGAATCAGTGGTATTGCCTGCAATCAGATCCCCCCCCCCCCACCACCACTTTCTTTTGCAGTTCAGCTTCAGTTCTCTCTCTGCAGTGTTCAGAAACAGACATGGGCTCTCCTTATCTTCTGACATGGTCTCTGTTTCCCCTTTGTCTGTTAAATCTTTAGGTGATGTTATCAGACAATAGCCTGACTTGCAGGGACTCCAGTTGGCTTTTTTTCGACTGGCTTTTGAGCAAGGGAACCTTTACCTTTACATTATACATTGAAGTGCCCCCCCCACCCTGTTCTCACATGACCCCTCAGTATTCTCCACCCACCCTGTTTTAATTTGTTGTGTTTTGTTTTGAGGAGCGATCCCCTCCCCCTATCCAAAAGGCAGGCTGAGCTGTGGGGGATCCTCTTCCGTTTCTTATAAAACCTCCACGTGCATGCCTGAGGCAGGCTGAGCTGTGGGGGATTCTCTTCCGTTTCTTATAAAACCCCCACGTGCATGCCTAACGCTGCATAGGAATAGCACAGTGCCCTTTTAAAACTTAAATTTGAAAAACCCACTTATGTACAGAGGGACTTCCCCTCCCACCTGTTTAAACGGGTAGGTGGCTCTCTTCATTGGGCTAATTTTTTGCAAGAGACTGGCCGCTTGCCAACATCAACAAATGAGAAAAGGTAATTGACGAGTAATTGACTACCTCTACACCAATTACACTGTTTCCCCTTCAGACTCAAGGAACTGCTCCTGTTGGTAGTGTCTTGCTCAGGAAACACTATTATTTTACAGATTTAAAATAAAGCAGTGTGGGGGGGGGTTGGGTGAAAGGAAAGGGCTGTTAATGGTCTGTGCACAAATAGCAGGCAGCTGTCATGTGGAAACATGACAAAGAAAACAGCAGTCAGGTGGTTGAAACATGGGAAATCCTTGGTGCAAGAGCCGCCCAGCACTCATTCAGTTGGGAATGCAAGCAGGCCGGTATAATGTATTACTCTACCCTGTGTCTTGAGAATTAAGTAAATTTCAAGAATTTATTCTTCTTGTACATTTTTCATTTTTTAAAAAAAATCCTTCTGTAGCCCCCAAAGTGGCCAGGGGGCCAAGGGGTGAAGGTGTTGCCCACCCAGAAGTTGCCACGTTCTCATGAGCTGGCTCTGAATCCCTTGTGCCCATTCCGTTCCAGGGGGAAGACTGCCCGGTGCATCAATGTGGAGGAGTTTAAGAAGGCCTTGGAGGAGCTGGCCCCAAAGAGGTTTAAGGACAAGAGCAAGGAGGAAGCATTTGACGCCATCTGCCAGCTGGTGGCTGGCAAAGAGCCAGTCAACGTGGGCGTCACTGTGAGTAAACTGCTGCCGGGAGGAAGCGGGGCATTGTGAGAAAGAGGTGACACGGGCCCTAGGGAGAACTGATGGGCCCCGAGGCATGGCCAAGCAGTAGACCTGATAGAGGGGAGAATGGAGGGGCCAGTCCGTATGCCGGGCTGCCACCGTGAGCCCTGGGCCCCCTCCTCACGTTCAGAAGAACACACGCAAGATGTGTGATAGAGATGCTGCTCCTGTCCTCCGGCATCTCCTTGCAAGATCCCAGGGCAGTCCTTGCCCACAAAACGTTGTGCCCTTATTCCCTTCTCTCAGCAGGAGTGGAAAGGGCCTGTGGCCGGTTTTTGCTGGCAGAGGGTTTCTGGTTTAGGGGGAGGAGTGTTGGAGCATCTGCTTTGCATGCCGTAGGTCCCAGGTGTGATCCCTGGAAGTCTCCAAGATCAGTTAGTAGGTGATGTAAAGGGCCTCTACCTGAGACCACGGAGAAATGCTGCTAGTCAGGGCAGGCAAGACTGGCTTGGATAGACCAACCTGGATAGACTGACACAGCGGAAGGCAGCTTCGTGCGTGTTCAGGTTCAGTAGCCAAGTAAAATTATCTCAGGTAAGACCTGTGCCTGAGAACGTGGGGACTCGGGTATCTCAGGTAAGGCCTGTAGTCAAGGACCTCAGGCAGCGCTCCCTCTAAGCTGTGGAGTGTTGTGAGTGACTGGCATTAAAGTTGTGAGCAAGCGATTTGGGCTACTACCTAAATTAGTTTGCTCTGGAGCCATCCTTCCTGAGCTAAGACAAAGATGTGTGAGCCAGAGGCTAAAAAACTTTGAGCTTGCTCACACTAATTCAGCTTCGAGGGAACACTGATCTCAGGGAAGACCTGTGCCCAAGAATCTGCTATTAAAAAGGCGAGGCAGACCGATGACCTGACTTGGTACAATGCAGTTTCTTGCATCAGGCAGTCATGTTAGAGGAGGTCGTTGGAAGTGACCTTCCAAGGGAGGGGTGCTTGAAGAGCTACGGCACAGGTTCTAAACGCTCCCTCTGTTTTGTGATTGGCAGAAAGCCAAGTCGGTGGGCGCCGTAGAGAGGCTCACCGACACGTCCAAGTACACGGGCTCCCACAAGGAACGCTTCGATGAGACCGGCAAAGGAAAAGGCAAGAGTGGCCGTGAGACCCTTGTGGACGACAGTGGTTACGTGGCGGCCTACAAGAACGCAGGCACTTACGACACCAAAGTGAAGAAATAGGAGTGGCTGCCCCTCGTGGCCGCTCTTTCCCAGACCCTAATGACATCCCCCTCCCCCCCGGTGGGATTCAGCTTTGCTGGGCCCGCTCCGAGCCTCAGAGCCACAGCTGGAAGGGGTGCCTGTTTCCCGAGCGGCCCAAGCAGTTGCCGTGTTCAGCCTCCGACATCCTCCTCCTCGGAGGGCCTCTACATCTCAGCTCGCTTCCTTTCTCACTGTGGCCCGCTCTCTTCCCCAGACCACCTCTGCTTCTCCTCAGGTTGTTGCCAAAGACTCCCTTGCTCTGCTCGCTAGTGCTAATCGTGAGTCATTCCTGCCCCCAAGGAAAAGAAAAACTGCACGTCCTGAATTTACTGGTTGATGACAGAGTTTCTGTCAGATAAACAAGATGGCGGCTTCTAATCCACTCCTAGGCTTCTGACAGGGCCTACCAGGCCTCACCCCAGCCCCTCTCATCAGTGCTAAAAGTCTGGTTCCTGCACCCCAGAGCTTGCAGCCTTCCCCTGTAGCGCTGCTTTGAAATGTATAAGAAACTGTATATAAATAAAGTTCTACTACTATGGCTGTGACTGTTCTTGCTCCTGGACCTATCGGACAATTGTTCCCTTTTAAGCATGCATTCAACTCTCCAGGAAAACCACATCAAGTTTCCTTCCGTGTGATGGTTTTGCTCCTCTTTGACCTCCAAAACTGGAGTGCTTTTTGGGAAGGATAGACATGAAGTTGTGATCTAATTGTCCTTCTCTCTCTTCAGCATGCTCTTGTCCAGACCCGCTTAGCTATGATCTTTTTTGGGAAGAGCACAGTCCAAGACGTTTTCATGCAGTCTAGATGGGGAGCCGAACCTTTTCCAAGCTTCCACCCACATCAGTGCCATTTTGTCAGCCCCTTGTGGATGCCCACCCTTTCCCTCCCCCTGCAACTGGTCAGCTTTGAGGGTGCTTTATAGCACTGCAACAAGCAAACTCAAAAAGCCCTCTGGTAGCCCAGCTGGGAAATGCAGGGAAAATGTAGCTGATGGGGGGGGGGGATGTGCATTAAAGTCCTGTGTGGGATGCTCCATTGCCAATGCAAATATGTCTGCGTTCGTACTGTCAATGAGAGCAATGCAGAGAATCCTAACCATATGGAAGCAACGTCAGTCTGGTTTTGGTAAAAAAGCTTCTCTAACCTGGATGGACCAGGCTAGCTTGAGCTTGTCAGATCTTGGAAAGCCAGTTTGGTGTAGTGGTTAAGTGCACGGACTCTAATCTGGGAGAACTGGGTTTGATTCCCCACTCCTCCATTTGCACCTGGCTGGATGACCTTGGGCAAGCCATAACTCTGGCACAGCTGTTCTTGAAAAAGAGCAGTTTCTGTCAAGAGCTCTCTCAGCCCCACCTACTTCACAGGGTGTCTGTTGTGGGGAGGGGAAGGGAAAGGAGAATGTAAGCCGCTCTGAGACTCCTTTGGGTAGTGAAGGGTGGGGTATAAATCCAATCTCTTCTTCTTCTTCTTCTTCTTCTTCTTGGAAAATAAGCAGGGTTGGATGGGAGACCACCAAGGAAGTCCAGGTGTACTATGTAGAGGCAGGCAATGGCAAACCACCTCTGTCCGTCTCTTGCTTCGAAAACCCTACAGGGTCACCATAAACGATTATCCTTGGGTACAGCTTGCAGCCTGGGTTACAAACTTCAAGGTGGGGCCAGGAGTTCTCCTGGAAGTACAAGTGCTCTCCAGACTACAGGGGTTGGTTCTGGAGGAAGTGGCAGCTTTAGAAGGCAGACACGAGGTGGCTTTGCATCCCTGCGGAGCCCTCTCCCCTCCCCAAGCCCTGTTCCTCAGCAGGTGCCACACCCAATCTCCAGGAATTTCCCAAGCTGGCAACCCTACCCACAACTTGGGACACATGAACAAATAAACCCCTGGCTCAAGTAGCACTCCGTCCCCTCATGGAACGAAATTGCTGCCCCCCCCCCCGTTCTCCTGGTGACTAGATATTTCTGTGACAGGAAGAGATGCGCAAGCTGAGGAGAAAGGTTTTTACAGCCTGTGAGGAATTCCCTGCCTGTGACGGAGGAGGGGCAGGTGGCTTCGTGCCAGGCCTCTTGGAGTCCATGCAGGCCAATATCTCCGCCACTAATTTTTATGGGCTTGCTACTATTTTCTCTCACACATTTGTCTCTGTTATCAATTTCCCTCTCCCCTCCCCTCCCGCCCGCAGGCCTTCTCTTGGTTTCTTCTAGGGAAGGTAGTAAGGGAGCCATTCTCCCGCTGAGCCGAGCCTCTGGATAAGTGCAGTTCTTCAGCTGCCCAAACCTGGGGTTTTTTGGCCATCAAGTCACAGCTGACTTATGTTGACCCCTTATGAGGTTTTCAAGGTGAGAGATATTCAGAGGTGGTTTTGCCATTGCCTCCATCTGCTCTACAGCCCTTGTGTTACTTGTGGTCTCCCATCCTATACCTATAAAGCCCTATATGGCCAGGGTCCAGCCTACCTGAGGGACCGCCTTGCCCCACATATTCCCCCAAGAGCACTACGGTCAGGGACCCAAAATTTGTTGGTCATCCAGGGTCCCAAGGATGTGAAACTAGCTGTGACCAGGGCCAGGGCTTTTTCGGTGGCGGCTCCTACCTGGTGGAACGAGCTCCCGGGGGAGATCCGGGCCCTGCGAGACTTTGAACAGTTCCACAGGGCCTGTAAGACGAACCTCTTCCACCAGGCCTTTGAGTAGGAGCCGCCGCCCCATTATACCACCACCGTCAAGGTATCTTAAAGGATGCATCGACGAGGCCCGAGGAAGAACCTGGAAACTATTGAAGATCTGACAAGCCGTCGCCATTGGACACATATACTATGGGAGGACCATCTGGAACTGCGGTGTTACCATCTTGGATTTAGGGTATTAGTAATGGATTGAGTACCGTGGTTTTAGTGTTGGATGTTTTACTATGTTTTATATATGTTTTTACCTACGGCATGGCACATGACCTTGCTCTTGTTAGCCGCCCTGAGCCCATTGGGGAGGGCGGGATACAAATATGAAAAATAAATAAATAAAAATAAATCCAAATACTGACCTCGGCCAACCCTGCTTAGCTTCTGAGATCTGTTGCGATCGGGCTAGCCGGAGCTACTCAGGTCAGGGCTCCTATCCCAGTGATCATTCCTGTTGTCTGTGATGGGGAGGGCTTTACGCTGTGCTTACTGGTGCTCGCTTACTGGGCAGGGCTTTTAATAGTTCACCTACACAAACTCACAGTGCACACCTGTCACTCTCAACACCCTGACCTGAATGGCCCGGGCTATCTCAATCTCATCTGATCTCAGAAGCTAAGCAGGGTCAGCCCTGGCTAGTATGTGGATGGGAGACCACCAAGGAATACGAGGGTTGCGACGCAGAGGCAGGCGATGGCAAACCACCTCTGAAAGCCTCTAGCCTTGAAAACCCTATAGCAGGTCCCCAACGTAGCACCCAATGTGGCACCATGGGCACCCATTGACACCTTTCCTGGTGCTGCCACGTGTTTATAGGAAGTGGGCAGAACCAGGTGGGGCGTTTGAGCAGCAGTGCTTCTGGGTGGCCACTGGAGATCTGATTGGGTGTGCAGATTGGAAGGCCTCCTGTTAAGCAGAACCGAAGAGTTACTATTAAAGTTACACATAACCTTGATCTGTGACATTTTGTGCTTGGTTCCACCGCGTGTGGCAGCCATTTAGGGCTTTGTCCTACCTCCCACGGCAGCCATTTTGGGTTTCGTTCCACCTCCGAGGAAGAACCTGGAAACTATTGAAGATCTGACAAGCCGTCGCCATTGGACACGTATACTATGGGAGGACCATCTGGAACTGCGGTGTTACCATCTTGGTTTTAGGATATTAGTAATGGATTGAGTACTGTGGTTTTAGTGTAGGATGTTTTACTATGTTTTATATGTTTTTACCTATGGCATGGCACATGACCTTGCCCTTGTTAGCCGCCCTGAGCCCATTGGGGAGGGCGGGATACAAATATGAAAAATAAATAAATAAATAAAAATAAATCCAAATACTGACCTCGGCCAACCCTGCTTAGCTTCTGAGATCTGTTGCGATCGGGCTAGCCGGAGCTACTCAGGTCAGGGCTCCTATCCCAGTGATCATTCCTGTTGTCTGTGATGGGGAGGGCTTTACGCTGTGCTTACTGGTGCTCGCTTACTGGGCAGGGCTTTTAATAGTTCACCTACACAAACTCACAGTGCACACCTGTCACTCTCAACACCCTGACCTGAATGGCCCGGGCTATCTCAATCTCATCTGATCTCAGAAGCTAAGCAGGGTCAGCCCTGGCTAGTATGTGGATGGGAGACCACCAAGGAATACGAGGGTTGCGACGCAGAGGCAGGCGATGGCAAACCACCTCTGAAAGCCTCTAGCCTTGAAAACCCTATAGCAGGTCCCCAACGTAGCACCCAATGTGGCACCATGGGCACCCATTGACACCTTTCCTGGTGCTGCCACGTGTTTATAGGAAGTGGGCAGAACCAGGTGGGGCGTTTGAGCAGCAGTGCTTCTGGGTGGCCACTGGAGATCTGATTGGGTGTGCAGATTGGAAGGCCTCCTGTTAAGCAGAACCGAAGAGTTACTATTAAAGTTACACATAACCTTGATCTGTGACATTTTGTGCTTGGTTCCACCGCGTGTGGCAGCCATTTAGGGCTTTGTCCTACCTCCCACGGCAGCCATTTTGGGTTTCGTTCCACCTCCCATAGCAGCCATTTTGGGCTTCGTTCCACTACCTCCTGTGGCAGCCATTTTGTTGTTGCACCCACAACCCTGTGTCAGAATTCCAGAAGTGTCTGCAGGCTCAAAACGTTTGGGGACCCCTGCCCTACGATGTTGCCATAAGTTGGCTTCAACTTGACCACACTTTCCACCACCTTCATACCCAGCTGGGGAAAAAAAAATCTCATCTGTCTACCTGAAGCCTGCGCTTCTTGAAAACCCACCCATTTGGTCAGCTGTCTGTCAAGGTTCTTCACATTTTGCCTGCCCGCCCGCCCAGAAAGGGGGTAGGGTGGGGTGCCGGTCCCTTGGCAAGCCTCAATAGGTGGTTTGTGTCCCTCTTGGTGATCAGGCTCTAGCTGCCAGGCAAAGACCACTGGCTCGCTAGCACCCACAGCTCCAGTTAGAGAGTTCAACACTTGTTGGTAGAGCAAGTATCTCCCAGTGGCTAAGGTGAGCGAGGCAAGATGTCTGCACCCCAGGAGGCAAGGGGAGAGTATAGTGGAGCGGGGGGAGAGGTGGAGAGAAACCAGAGGAACAACATGCAGATCTGGAATGGAACAATCTCATACTGGGTTTGTGCCTCTAAAACGTGTGAGAGGAATGGAACCAGGAACCTTGCAGTCATAGGAGCACAGAATCACAGAGTTGGAAGGGGCCATCCAGGCCATCTAGTCCAACCCCCTGCTCAGTGCAGGATCCGCCTAGAGCATCCCTGACAAGCGTTTGTCCAGCCGCTGCTTAAAGACTGCCAGTGAGGGGGAGCTCACTACCTCCCTAGGCAGCCGATTCCACTGTTGAACAGCTCTTACTGTC